GCCCTCCGCACGGTGGCCTCCACGTCCGCGTAGTCGCTGCCTCGCTCCACGTAGAGGGTAATTCATGGCCGGGAGCAGTTCGCGACGTGGGCATCGCCGCGGCCACCGTGCCCACCTCGTCACGGGTTGGCTCTCGAGGAGCACGGCCTATAAATTGTGCCCACTCTCTCGGAACAATACATCATCAAACACTCAGCGACACAACAACAATCAGAACTGTACTAGCCATCATCTTTGCCTGTTGCAGCATCTGTAGCTTTTTTCTGTCCTTTCGTGCATCTTCCGTCCGCGGCTGATCAATGGCGACTGTGATGGCCATGGGCTCCTTCGCCGGTGCCGCCGTCCTGCCGCGGGGCTCGGCTGGCCGCTTCGGCGCCCGGTCTCTGCCAGCGCTGGGCCGACGCACCCTCATCGTCAGGGCACAGACAAACAAACCCAAGACGAGCACCTCAATCTGGAACGCGCTGGCGTTCAGCGGCCCTGCGCCGGAGCGAATCAACGGGCGCCTTGCCATGGTAGGCTTCGTGACGGCGCTTGGGGTGTGTAAGACAATAAGTTTTGGGGAACCAGCACAACCCTCTAGGGGTGGCTTATCTCATTATATATAATGGTTGTGTTACAATATGTACAATATACATACATAGGTACAGAAACTATACATAGTCTAACACCCTTCCTCAATCTTAGCCACTTTCTAAAGAACTGAGAAGGGTAAGATTGCGCCTACAAGCCTCAAACTGTGGCAGCGGTAAAGGCTTAGTGAAGATGTCTGCAAGTTGATCCTTAGATGAGATAAACTTGATCTGGAGTTGCTTCTGTGATACACGTTCCCGTACAAAGTGATAGTCAACTTCAATGTGTTTCATTCGGGCATGAAATACTGGATTTGCAGAAAGGTATGTAGCAACGATGTTATCACACCAAAGAATAGGAGGCTGTAGTTGAGACAAACCCAACTCCTGAAGCAAAGACTGCACCCAAATAATCTCTGCAGTAGCATTAGCCACAGCCTTGTACTCAGTTTCAGTACTGCTACGTGACACAGTAGCCTGTTTCCGAGCACTCCAGGCGATCAAATTAGAGCCAAAGAATACTGCATAACCCCCCGTGGATCGCCTGTCATCTGGGCTACCAGCCCAATCTGCATCAGAGAAGGCCGAAAGGACCCGAGAGGAAGTCGGCCGAATATGCATACCAAATGTCAGGGTGAACTGAACATAACGAAGAATGCGTTTAACAGCAGCCCAATGAGTATCTCTGGGAGCCTGAAGATACTGACAAACCCTATTAACAGCATAAGAGATATCTGGTCTCGTGATCGTCAAGTACTAAAGTCCACCAACAATGCTCCTGTACTCTGTGGCATCCGCAGGAGACAAAAGCTCACCATCAACAGCTGTTATCTTGTCGGTAGACGACATGGGTGTGGTGGTCGGTTTGCACTTCAGCATGCCAGCTCTTTGTAACAACTCCAAGGAGTACTTCTTCTGCGTAAGGACAAGACCAGTAGCACGAGAAGTGACCTCAACTCCAAGAAAGTAGTGAAGCTTCCCAAGATCTTTGACCGCAAAATCAGCACCAAGAGAGCAGACAAGAGCATCAGCAGCATACTGAGAAGAGCTGACAAGGATAATATCATCGACATATACCAAAAGATACATAGTGACTTCTGGCTTCTGTAGAAGAAATAATGAAGTGTCAGCAGTAGACGGCACAAACCCATGAGCACGAAGGGCAGAGGCAAGGCGGGCATGCCAGGCACGAGGAGCTTGCTTCAAACCATATAGTGCTTTGGAAAGACGACAGATATAGTCAGGACGATCAGGATCAGAGAAACCAGGCGGTTGTTTCATATAAACCTCTTCCTCCAAAAATCCATGTAGGAAAGCATTCTGCACATCAAGTTGACGAAGTGACCAACCATGAGAAACAGCAATGGAGAGAAGAAGCCGAATAGTGATAGGCTTGACGACAGGACTGAAGGTGTCCTCATAGTCAAGACCATGACGCTGCCGAAAACCGCGAGCAACAAGTCGCGCTTTGTAACGCTCAATAGATCCATCCGAATGCTTCTTCACTTTGAATACCCATTTTGAGTCAATAACATTTACCCGTGGTGGTGGAGGAACGAGAGTCCATGTCTTGTTACGAAGAAGAGCATGAAACTCCTGCTCCATAGCCTCTCGCCAATGTGGAATGCGCAGGGCAGCCTGATATGAGCGAGGCTCAGAAGATGGATCCGCAACAGCAGCAGCCAAACAAGCAGCCAACCAAGCAATCGTACCATCCTTACGTTCCTTAGGTTTGAAAATGCCACTGCGACTGCGTGTATGTGGTCGGGACACAGGAACCACCGAGGTCGACGGAGCAGCCTGCAACGGGCTGGAGGACGGCGACGTTGACGAGTCAACCGGTGACGAGGAGCCAGTCACGGTAGCCTCGGACTCGGTCGGCGAAGAAGGCCGACCCACCGGCGAAACCGGCAGAGCAGACGAAGCAGCTGGCGACTCCGGCATCACAGACCGGGCCGATGGCGAGCTCGGCATAGTGGGCCGTGGCGCGGCCGGTGTCGCGGGCCGATCCGCTGATGAAGGCGACGTGAGGACCCGAGCCGCGGGCGAAGACGGCGTGACGGGCCGAGCCGCAGGCGAAGACGGCGTGACGGGCCGAGCCGCGAGCGACTCGGCGGCCGCTGGCGAAACGGACCGAGCAGTGGAGATGCTCGGCGCGACGGGCTCGTCGGGTGACCATGCATGGGCACGCGAATCGATGCCATGCAACATAGGGCGATCGACGTGCCCACCAGAAGACGACGATGATGATGGTGAATCCTCCAACAGCTCCAAATGAGCTCCACGTCCGGTTCCTGCACCATGGTTAGGTAACAGCAAAGGAGAGTATGCAACATCATCAAATTGGTCAGAAGCAACAGAGGATGAATGCAGGGATGGTGGTTCGACAGTGGACACAGGAAGGTTGGCAAAGGGAAAAACATGCTCATCAAACACGACGTCCCGAGATATATAGACACGATTAGTGGGAACATGAAGACATTTGTAACCTTTATGAAGAGAGCTATAGCCAAGAAAAACACACTTCTTAGAACGAAACTCAAGCTTGCGCTTGTTATATGGACGAAGATGCGGCCAGCAAGCACACCCAAATACCTTGAGAAAGGTATAATCAGATTGTTCATTAAGGAGAACCTCAATGGGAGTCTTCATGTTTAAAACACGAGTAGGAGTACGGTTGATGAGAAAGCATGCAGTGGTGAAAGCATCACTCCAAAACCGAAACGGAACAGATGCATGGGCCAAAAGAGTAAGACCAGCTTCAACAATATGACGATGCTTACGTTCGACTGAACCATTCTGCTGATGTGTATGTGGACATGCTAAACGATGAGCTATCCCAAGCGACTGAAAGAAAGAGTTGAAGTTGCGATACTCGCCCCCCCAGTCCGACTGGACATGAACAATTTTGTGCTTGAGAAGACGTTCAACATGTTTTTGAAACTGAACAAAAATATCAAACACATCAGATTTGCGTTTAATAAGGTAAAGCCAGGTAAAGCGACTATAAGCATCAACGAAACTGATATAGTAATTATGACCACTGACAGAAGTCTGAGCAGGACCCCATACATCTGAAAACACAAGTTCTAAAGGATGTTTCACCTCACGACTGGACTCCGAAAAAGGAAGTTGATGACTCTTCCCCTGCTGACAAGCATCACACACTGCTACATCTTTATTACTAGACAAACTAGGAAGCTCATGACGACGCAAAATATGACGGACAATAGGTGTGGCCGGGTGACCAAGACGAGCATGCCACTGTGACGGAGAGACCCGAACTCCACTGAAAACATGAGCGACACCAGGATGCTCCAGACGGTAGAGGCCCTGGCACAACCGCCCACTAAGAAGAATGTCCCTCGTGCCCCGATCCTTAATAAAAAGATCAAAAGGGTGGAATTCACAAAGCACATTATTATCACGTGTGAGTTTAGGAACTGAAAGAAGATTACGGGTCACAGATGGAACTCGAAGAACATTGCGAAGCTGAAGACTCCTATTGGCATGTCTAGTGAGAAGAGATGCTTGACCAATATGAGAGATGTGCATACCTGCTCCATTGGCGGTGTGGATCTTGTCGGAGCCATGATAGGGTTCACGAGTGTGAAGCTTCCCCATCTCGCTGGTCAGATGCTCTGTCGCCCCAGAGTCCATGTACCAGTGTGGATCGATGGAGTAGGACTGAGTGTGTCCCTGTTGCTTCTGCGGCGCGGGACGATCAGCCATGGCGACCTGACGGGCATTGTTGCGTGTATCTTTGCCGTCATTGCCAAGACCAAGGAAGCTTCGCTGGAAGCGCTTATGACACTTGGAGGCCCAGTGCCCATCGCGGCCACAAAGCTGACACACACGTGGACCGCCAGCCCCCGGTAAGGTCGCAGTAGGTGGGGGGGCCGAGGCGGGCGACGGTGGCAGCCCCAAGGGAGACCGGGGTGATGAAGAAGAGCGGCCACCCTTGGTGGCGGCGTTGGCTGAGAGGGAGCCAGTGCCCCTGGTGCGGCGAGTCTCGACCCGTTGCTCAGTGAGAAGGAGCCGAGAGAAAACCTCGTGTGCCAGCATGGGTGTCGAGTTGCCCCGCTCGTTGATGATCTCGACTAAGGCATCATACTCCTCATCAAGACCATTAACAATAAACGAGTTGAACTCGGAGTCGGTGAGGGGTTGTCCAATGGAGGCCAATGTGTCGGCGAGGCCCTTGACCTTGTTGTAGAACTCAGTGGCAGTGGAGTCAAGCTTCTGACACTCTCCAACCTGACGACAAAGTGCAGAGACACGAGCCTGGGACTGCGCTGCAAAGGTGCGCTCAAGGATGGTCCAGGCCTCATGAGACGTCTTCGCGAAGACAACAAGGCCGGCAACTGCCGACGAGAGCGACCCCTGGATGGAGGAGAGGTTCGCCTGGTCCTGCCCCGTCCAGACGCGATGGGCCAGATTGTAGACCGGACCGTGCACGCTGTCTACCAGCGCGGGTGGGCAGGGAAGCGATCCGTCGACGTAGCCTAGCAGGTAGTGACTCCCCAAGAGCGGGAGAACCTGCGCACGCCAGAAGATGTAGTTGTCGGCGGAGAGCTTGATGGTGATGAGATGACCGAAGTGAAACGGCGGCGGCGAAGACGATCCCATCGAGGAGGCTGCCTGGGGTGCAAACACCATGGAGGCAGCCGGAGGCACCGAAGCCGATGCGGGAGGAGGCGGGACCGCAGCCAGGGCGGGCGCCGCAAAGCTCGCGGCCGGTGCGGACGCCGCAAGGCCCGCGGCCGGGGCGGACGCCGCCAAACCCGCCAGCGGGGCAGTGTGATCCGCTTGCGGCAGGAGCGGCGGGACGACGCCTGCGGAGTCCGCAGCGGAAGGCGGCGCCGCGGTGTGGACCACGAGGTCACGCCCAAGCGAGGGCGCCGGCGGCGTGGAGAAGACGGAGCCGATGCTCCTTGTCCCGATCGGAGCCGGAACAGAGACGGCATCGAGCGGGAGGTTGAGCAGAGCCGCAAGAGAGGCCGGGAGAAAGCCCGCAGCAGTGGAACAGGTGGTGGCGGCGCTCGACATGGCGGCGGCGCGATCGGTGGCGCGGCGGCGGCGGCTGCGGCGGCGGTGCGGGTATTAGGGTTTAGAAGCGGAAGCGATCGTAACCTAGCGTGATACCATGTAAGACAATAAGTTTTGGGGAACCAGCACAACCCTCTAGGGGTGGCTTATCTCATTATATATAATGATTGTGTTACAATACGTACAATATACATACATAGGTACAGAAACTATACATAGTCTAACACGGTGGAGGCAGGGCGCGGCGACGGGCTCCTCTCGCAGCTCGGCAGTGGCACCGGGCAGGCGTGGTTCGCCTACTGTGTGGCGGTGCTGTCCGTGGTGTCACTGGTGCCGTTGCTCCAGGGCGAGAGCGCCGAGGGCAGAGCCGGCGCCATCATGAACGCCAACGCGGAGCTCTGGAACGGCCGCTTCGCCATGCTCGGCCTCGTCGCGCTCGCCGCCACCGAGATCATCACCGGCGCGCCTTTTATCAACGTGTAAACTAGCTTTGTTGTCTCGACCGGATAACACAACCTGTAGCTAGTACTAGTAGGACATGTAAATGATGAGAGCTGATCATCCTTGTATTCTTTGCAGTACTACTAATTAAAGACTGTTCATAAAAATGGTGATAGTTCAAGGCATTGGTGGAAGAGTTTGCTATATCGGCTAGCAGGGACTCGCTCGTGTATATATGGGGTGCATGGTCAGGATTTACATTATGGTTAGTTTGGTTGTGGTAGACTTGATCCATACAAAAACTATACAAGACATAGATCAAATCCTACACTAACCGAACCAGAATATACAACAACTACTAACAAACTATACACGCACGTAATACGTAAAGGCATCTCAAACATCCCCCTTGTATGCTGTTGTCTGCTGATTTATAAAAGTCAGTGGGGGGCCGTTGCTCCTCAAAAAAAAAACTATCTAAGTTGAGATTGCACAAAACTTTTTTTTTTGAACCGGGCATAATCCCTTTCCATTATTGCAACATAACGGAAATACAACCAAGTCCACAGAATGAGACGGGAGAGGGGAGAGCGAGTTCAAGCACCGCCGGAAAACCTACTGTAAGCACTCGCCATCGAGATAACCCACTGTAGGGCGAAAACCCGGCGACACCAAATCAGTAAGAAGTTCAGATGGGGCAACCCCCCTAGACAGCTCACAAACGAGCACCAAAACGACAGTCCCACACAGGGAAGACTCCAAAGACGGACACAAACTAAGGCAATGACACCACCGGAAGCATGCATCCCTTGAAGATGCATCACCATTCCTTGAGCAATTCTCCAGCGAGCTTCTCAGTCTTTGGTCGCAGCGCAGATGCGCATCAGCCTTGATGCACTGTTCTTCAGCATGTCCAGTCCTGCTCGCAGATCCACCGCATCCTCTTGTTTCAACAGTCCTGCCCAATAACAAAGAAAAGCGCATATAGAGAAACAGCATTCGAAAGGAGTTTTCAGACGCTTAGATTCGAACGTAGCACCATTGCGACAGGTCCAAATAGCCCAGCGAAGCGCAGCTATGCCAACTGTGTAGAAAACCTCCCCATCCGAGAAGTATACATAACACCAGGAGTAAGCCTGCCATAAGTTGTTCGGACACAAATCAGTGATTTATCCACTTATCCAACCAGATAGATGGAATATTCGTTTGGCCATTAGGTTTGAATTGCCTTCTCTTTATGTCTTCCATTTGAATTCCGTGATTTATCCTGCTATTTGGAGAGTAGATGATATGGTCTTTCTTGGGTTTGGCTTTCAAAGTGCAGTTCGAAAAGAGTGAGTTGCTGTCAATGGCTGGAATGGAATATATAAATAAGATGGAAAATATGCTTTCTTTCCATCTACCTATTTGAAGTAGTAAGCTTATCTTTTAGGTGGGAATAGTTTACAATCGAGTTTGAAAGCATTAATGAAGTGACCCTATTACATCAAGTTCTTTTTTGACCTTTTCATTTGAAAGTAGCCATAGGCAAGGAAGGCTACCTATTGATACGGAAAGAAAGCCATCTCTGGCTATTCCTTTTTAGGGTGGAAAAGAGTGCTCCATATCCATATATGTGCTTGGAGGGAAGGCCACATCTTTAATTGTATTCTTTTTCGAGGTCATCCTCTTCAGCCTGTGTTAGTAGTGCTAGTTTTTCGTTTTTGGTACCTTACGGGTCTATAGAAAGGCTTAGAGGATCCTAAAGTGTCAGTTTATGTTGGAATTGCTTTGCTCTTTTTCAAGCAAATAAGCTTGAAAGAAAGTGCTTTTATTCGAGTGGAAATGAAAGAAGAAATCATCTATCTAGACAGAGTATGTGTATTATTCGGTCCATGCTTGCCCTTCTAGGCCCTTTAGATCTATATCTATCTTACTATCGAAAAGGGTTTTAGGAGGAGCAGAGCAAGTCGCGTTTACAGCCAGCAGTTCTTATGGGCGTAACTCCCTCTAGTATTCCAATAATCTCCTTTCCTCCAATATGTCACTAGTATTCAAGTATGCGGCTCGTATTAGTATGCCAGGCGTTCGAGAGACCAGAATTCTTTTCATAGCCTTCCCTTCAATATGCCATCTTGTCTTGCGGCGCTCTATCCTTCCAAGCGAGCCTGTGCTCGGGGAGCACTCCTTCTATCATTCATAAAATATGCTTATCTCTCCTTGGTCGTAAAGCTTCGCTTTGCTTTCATTTACCAAAAATGCCATTGGAGTTTCCAGCTGGGAGGCGCAGTCTCGTACAAGAACCTTCTCTTCCTCTTTCGAAAAGTAGCAAAGCAGTGTCAGGTTGGAAGCCTGCGGGCCAGTCTGTTCTAGCGCCTCATTCTTTACATCCTTGCATTACTCTCTTCCTTTCCTCCTTGCCCTAACTTGAACTGGCTGAAACTAAAATGGCCGGACTTTCTAATGATGGCACTGGCTTGGCTGGATCGACATGAACTTCTATTAGGACAACAACTGTTTTGCCCCTTGTCGAACTTTGACTGAGACATAGCCTTGCTGCTGCGGGGCAGCCGACTTATAATTCTAGTTATTGTCCTTCTTGTTCATGTAGTGCCTGCCTCTCTCCAAAACTCCTTCCCACACTTGATTGAGCAAAAGATGCAGCTTCACTAATTGAGTTAGGCACCTGCACTTCCACTGCAGCTCTGAGTTCATTCTTCAGACCCAGAAGAAATTGTGTCACCAGCAGCAGTCCTCCTACATTTAGATCATACAATTTAACCTAGCGGAGCGGATTCAACTACTTAAGATATTCTTCCTCAGAGCCAGTCTGCTCTTTATCATCATCTATCGTCTAAATAAGTAAATAATGACACCGATATAGATCGAGGACCCCCATCTAAGCCATAGGAAAGAAAGCCACTGGAGTGCGACGCTCAAAGCAAAAGTAAGTAATAGGGAAACAAGGTTCTATTAGGCTTGCAGGGCTGCTGCTCTTTGAAAGACGAGGTCTAGTGGAAGAGGCGGGTTTCTTGATTTAGTCGATATCAAATTCCCAACTTCGAAATTCGAAAGGACTAAGATTCTATTTCTTCCTCAAATACTGGGAATGTAGATTCAAGTATGATATCGCTATTCCACAGATCTCAAGAAAACGAATTGAACAAGTTTGATGGCTGGAAGAAGATAGGAAATATTCAAACATGTATTGCATTTCATCGATCTCACCCTTTGTTCAGTGCCGCATAAGTACTGACTTCTTGAACAGATACCGGTACCGGTCATGAAGGCTTCGCCCTTCTCAAGTCAAGTGTAGAAGCGAAATCCGTTGAGCAAGAAGCCAGTGATCCCACAACATCAAAGTGATACATATGACATATTGGAAATTAGGCTTAGTTTGTAGCTGTGAATATAGTAATGCACTTATTTATTGATAAATATGTTCTTTCAAGTAGAGCATACTCGGTAGAAAGGAGGTGGTGGAGCTGGGAAGAGGATTATACTTTATCGATTACTTGGACTTAGAGACCAATTATAGAAAGAAGACAGTAGCTGAGTGAGTTTTATGGATCTAGTTTATGAGCAACTTAACTAGAAAAGCAAGCAGAAGGAATAGAAGAATGAAATGCAGAAATAGGGGAAGGGCGGGTAGCATTTTCAAATGCCAGTTTGAGTGAGACAGTTTCTGTCTGGCCCCCCACTTTTAGGTTGTTCTTCCATTCTGCCTTTGTCTTGCTCTAAGCTACCTGACTTCCTTCCTTTGTTCTTCCATTCTACTTTGTATGATTCTGATCATCAGTTCTTATCGATCCCATTTTAAGGAAAAATCCTGATGTTGGTAAAATATACGTGTTGATCAAGGACAATGAAGCAGCCATGAAAAGATTGAAGAACGAGGTATGATGATTACTTCGGACTACTTTCTGTTCTTCATGCAAATGACCATATTTTCCGTCTGCAATACAGGTAGAAGATACTGAGTTGTTCAGATGTTTACAGGAAATCCATGGGAAAAACTACCACAGCTTTGTATTAAGCAAGCAGGTTCCAGTCATTGGTAATTCCAGGGAAGCCTACATTGGCATTGCTCCTGAGTTAGCCAAAGAGATCGCGGAAGAAGTGGATGTTATCGTAAACTCTGCAGCAAATACCACTTTTGATGAGAGGTTCGTGAAGCTATACTAGTCTTGCATCAAGGATTGCTTCCATTACTAAATGTGTAAGTTCACATTCCATAGCAAGAGAAGTGGTATGATGTAGCACTAGACATCAACACCGTGGGGCCATTCCGGATAATGAGTTTCGCGCAGCGATTTTGAAGACTGAAGCTCTTCTTGCAAGTATCAACAGGTCAGAATGCCAAATAAGAGTTTCTTGTGGTCGAAATCAAATGGTAACCTGTTTCTATTAATCTCAAAAGCTTACAAACAAGCTTTAGCAGTATGTTTGCATGTCATGTTTTTGGCCAAACAGCATATGTGAATGGGCAGAGGCAAGGTTTGATACTAGAGAAGCCATTTTGCTTAGGGGATACCATAACAAAGGGGATAGGTTCCTTAGATTTTTCGGCACATCAGAATACCGTGTTGGATATCGAGGCTGAGATCAAGTTGGCTTTTGACTCCAGAAGGCATTCTTCTGCCTCTGCTTCTGTTACTCAAGAAATGAAAGAGTTAGGTAGTCGAGGTATTCTAGTATTTACGTGTTACTTTCTCATGTCTGTAGATACGAATACACACATGAAGTATTTGATTTGTGCAATTTATTTATTCATAGGGCCAAACTCTATGGTTGGCAAGACACTTATGTGTTCACAAAGGCCATGGGCGAGATGGTCATCAACTGCATGCGAGGAGAGATACCGGTGGTAACAATCAAGCCAAGTGTCATAGAGAGCACATGGAGGGATCCCTTCCCAGGTTGGATGGAAGGAAACAGGTAAATGCTAAACCCAAATCTGAGGTTGCGGATGTCACATATATATGTGATGCATCCTCGTCTGCTTACCAGATAATGAGCTATTTCAGGATCTAGCAGTGTGTACTAACTTTTGACGGGTTGATGGTGATGATCAAGTATATGACCTATATTCCTCACTATTAGATGACTTCAAAGAGGAGATTCCATCATAATCTCTGGAAGCTAGTGTCAAGGAAGCCGTTAGCCGTCACCTTAACTGAAAGTTGGTGAAGAAGGTGTATATGCCTCTTGTCTATGGTAAGACACAACATAGTGCAGCAGCGGACATCCAGAAGGGGCTTGACTTCATTAGAAAACATGGTGAAAGCAACAAAGTGGCGGACATTTTTTTTTACATTCTGGGACAAGAAATTCCCAGTCATTGCTAGGCTGAGCCATGTTAGCAAAGAATGGTTTCTCCAACAATATGAGGATAAATCCCTTACTAAAATGGTAGTGGTCACAAACCCCTTCCGTGTACAATTGAAAACATTAGCAATACCAAAGCAAGAATCATCATTTATACTGCGAATGCCTTCCTCTACCAAAAGAGAAAGAGTTGAAGATAACGAAGGAAAGTGGGTGGATACAAAACCAGTTCATATCACTTGTCTTTTTGGTCTTTCAGAATCTCATCGAATACTAGTAAATGCTTTCGAAGAGAAAATAGAAGCACTAGAGAGCTCAAGTTCACTTCATTCATCACAAGATGCAAATGATAATCAAAATGGAGCTAATGAGGAAGAAATCACTTCTACTTAAACTTTTTTGAGTGAAATACCAACCAACACATAAAGCAATAACCAGATAGATAGAATGATAACAGGTAATACGAAGATATCAGCACAGCCGGAGTCACGAGGCTCGATAATGACCAATGGGTTAGGATCTGAGGAAGCTTAGTTTGGATGATGGAATATTCGCTGTTCTGATTGTTGAGATACTACAAATCCACTTATCCAACAATGGTCTTTCTTGGGTTTGAATTGCCTTCTCTTTCTGTCATCCTAATGCACAAAACTTCTTGTTGTTTGACTATCAAGGGCTTTGAAAGCCCATCTGCAACTTGATCGCCTTGGGTATAGAATGAATGTTGAGTAACTTGTTTTCTGCTCTTTCTTTGACAAAGTGATAGTCTACTACAATAGGCTTGGTTCTAGCATGAACCATGGGATTTGTTGACAGATAATTGGCATCAATATTATCACACCCTAAGGTTGCTGCTTGTGGGTGACAAACACCACGCTCTTGTAACAATGATTGAAGTTTCAAAAAAAATGTAACAATGATTGAACCCAAATCACTTTTTTTGCGGGGAAGGGAGTGTAACAATGCTCCAAAATTTACTTTTGTTGTTGCATTTGCAAGAGACCTATATTTTGCTTCCGTGTTGAATCTTGATATTATAAGTTGTTTTCTTGCACTCCATAATACAAGATCATCTTTGGAGCATCGACTTTTCGGTCACGACTTCCACGAGTCATTCCATAATAAAACTTTGCAATCACTCAAAACATTTGTCAATGTTTGCCAAAAAAACAGAATTATTATTATTATTATTATTTTCATTTTTTCTGATTTTACTGTTGACACGAGGTAAGAAACATTGCGTCCATCCCAATCTCTCCTACACACAAAAAGAATTGTAAGGTTCTGTCTTCCACTTCATCTTTCGTTCAATTTTAGGTACATTCCTCCCTCCCTCTCTCTGACTTGATTCTTTTCTCCCACCTTTGGTTTTTTTTTCATTAGTTTTCCTTGAAAACCAGCTTAAATGTCTTGGCCTTTTTTTGACTTGCCAAATTATCTTTTGTAAACCAATAAGTTTTTACCAAATAAATGATTACCAGATAAAATCTTAAAATTTATTTAGGTACATAAATCACGGACATGATTTAGTAAACATTTATTTACACAATCATATTAATGTGAACATGTAAATCACAGGTTAATGTGCTAGAATATTTATGTCATGTTGCAACGCATGGGCAATTATCCACTCTCTCTGTCCGGAATTACTTTTTTGAACATCTGTCCGGAATTACTTGTCCCTCAAACAGATGTATCTAAGACGTACTCCCTCCGTTCGGAATTACTTGTCTCGGAAATGGATGTATCTAGAACTAAAATACATCTAGATACATCCATTTTTGCGACAAGTAATTCCGAACGGAGGGAGTAGTTCACAAATGAAAAAACTAAACCCTCCGCCAAGAGAAGGTTTGACTTAAGAGTTACCTTGTTTTAGAAGGGGCAATAATTCACTTCCATGTTATGGACAAGGGTCCAGTTATCTGTATGCAGGGGAGAAACCATCTGACCTCAGCACTCCTTGGCTCCTTTCCTCTTGTATCAGCAAGTGGAAATAAAGTCATAGTAGTGACATCAGTCCATAGGACTTCTTCTCCCAAGTTGGACATGTGCATTTTGCTGAGAAGTGAACCAAACTAAAGTAAATACCTGTTGGGGTAAAGAATATCACACTGAGCCAATCATAACTTCAAAGACCATTTCAAAGTCTGTGAATCATCACACATAGAGCATTTCACTAATACATCCAAGTCAACCATCACAGGAGCCAATAGAAAAGACGTGCAGTGGAAGCCTCTCACCTGCTTTGAGGAAACAACGCATCAATGGGATCGTTTCCATCATTCAATAGGAGGCAAGTGAATTTCAACTTAAGTTACATTTTTTTATGAGATCAACTACCATTAGGTAGTGTAGTCAACTACTGAGACAGATGTTGAGTGCCTCCTTAAATGTCTTGATAACTAAGTGTAAGGAGAGTCTGCAAACCTCATGGCTCAGCAGATGGAGCTGCAAAATGTCATCCTGCTCCTCTTGCTGACAATCAACCTTGCTATCGCCCAAAACACTTCTAGAGAAGAAGCACAGGAACTCCATGTTGGGGTTATCCTTGACTTGGGGTCCATTGTTGGCAAAATGGCACGGACCAGCGTTTCACTGGCTATGGAGGACTTCTATGCTGTTCATCGGAACTATAGCACCAAGCTTGTCCTCCACATCAGAGATTCCATGAGTGATGATGTCCAAGCTGCATCTCAAGGTACATGTTCTCAATTGTTAGTCATAGGTCACTGTATCAGCTCATTCTATTATGCTGCTGAGAAACACAATAGAAAAAAAGAAAGGTCAACAAAACCATGGAAATCAAGAAACTATAAATATTCATATTTCACTACTTGTGGGGAGAAGCAAGCAAACATGACCCACGTAATGACAATTGAATCATACCAACAAGTACAATTAGGAAGCAACTGCGCATCGCATAACATTACTATTAAGAGCAATTGGATTTCCACATCACATCAAACTATTCCAAAGATAACGTCCAAGAATTATTGGATTCTGTTCACCAGGGGTGTTGCATCAGGACCACAGGCGCCAGTTTTGTTGCTGTGTAAATGAGCACGCGGTTGCATGTTCCAGCTTTCAGCTGCAAGGAGTGAGACATAAATTCCTGCAGGTTAAGAAAAACTGGGGGTGATGAATCAAGTACAGTGAAAACATATACTCCCTCCGTCCCAAAATAAGTGTCTTGAGCTTAGTACAAATTTGTACTAGAGCTAGTACAAAGTTAAGACACTTATTTTAGGACGGAGGGAGAAGTGTACTATTGGACAACTGAAGAAAAACGATAATAAAGCTGATATAGTAACATTAATATCTACCAAGGGGAAAAAAGAGTCAGTAACACATGCAAAAACTAGAAAAACTATGAATACCAGCAAACCACGGAAGCAGTGATATATCAGCTATCCTAATGTCTGGACAAAAGAACTATTTGTCTCCTTGTCACTTGCGGTACTATTCTGAAATATAAAGCAGCATCTGTTTCATAGTATATATTTTCACAAGATCACAGAGTGACAAACAATCCACTCTGTGCACCAAGAAGTAATATTTCAGAGCCATCAAGAGGAAGCAATACAAATATAATATATGATAAATTATCGTAAATTTTAAATCAGGCAACTATTTTTGTAGGTAATCACCTATTTCGCTCCTCTCGATACTGTTCATATATGTAAGTGGCAACATTTGTGAAAACACACAGCTCCGGCAGTTGGATTATCTGCAATTGTTTGGGATTTATGCATATTATGAATTTCATTCAATGTACGATGTTCAACTAAAGTTTGTCTCGATGTGCAATTATACAGCTATTGACCTGCTAGAGAATTACAATGTAGAAGTCATCATTGGTCCTCAGAAATCTTCGCAAGCTATATTTATCTCAAAACTTGGAAATAAAAGTCATGCCCCAGTCATATCCTTCACGGCAACAAGCCCATCTCTATCATCTAAAACTCTTCCATATTTTGTGCGAGCAACAATAAATGACTCGGCACAGGTAAATTGCATTGCCTCCATAATTAAAACCTATGGGTGGAGAGAGGTGGTACCTATCTATGAAGACACTGACTATGGTAGAGGTATCATACCATACCTTGTTGATGTGCTACAAGAAGTTGATGCCCGTGTTCCCTACCAAAGTGTGATCCCTTTGTCAGCAACTAGTGAACAAATTACTCTAGAACTCTATAAGCTGATGACAATGCAAACGACAGTCTTTGTTGTACATATGCCATTTACCATGGCCTCCCTCTTCTTCATAAAGGCAAGAGAAGTAGGGATGATGAACAAAGGATATGCATGGATCATGACAGATGGAGTAACCAATCTAATAGATTCACTGAATCCTTCTATCCTAGAATCGTTGAATGGTGCCATAGGTGTTGAGTTTTATGTTCCCAAAACCAAGGAACTTGATGACTTCGCCATGAGATGGAATATGAGGTTCCAGATTGACAACCCAACTGATCCACCATTGAAATTAAACATCTTTGGACTATGGGGCTATGATACAATCTGGGCAGTAGCACATGCCGCAGCAAAAGTTGGACTTGCAAATGCCACATTTCAGAAACCAGGTGCCACAAGAAATTCAATAAGTTTGGAAACCTTGGAAACATCTAGTAATGGTCCAAAACTGTTGCAAGCAATCCTGCAGAATAAATTTAGAGGCCTCAGTGGCAATATTGACCTTTCAAATAGGCAGCTGCAAATTTCAACATTTCGGATAATAAATGTAGTAGGGAAAGGATGGAGAGATATTGGATTCTGGACTGCACAAAATGAACTCTCGCAGCACTTAAATAAAACCAGACATACAACAACACATCTAAATCCAGTTATCTGGCCAGGAGAGTCCATAGAAATACCCCGAGGTTTTAAGATTCCTGTAAGCGGGAAGAAACTTCAAGTTGGTGTGTGCACAAGTGGATATCCGGAATTTGTGAAGGTCGAAAAGGATCATATCACAGGTGCAACTAAAGCAATCGGTTTTTCAGTGGATGTATTTGAAGAGGCAGTTAAGAGACTTCCTTATGCAGTCCCTTATGAATATGTCCTATTTAGTACCAAGGATGATGGAAGTGCCGAAGATTACAATGATTTTGTCTACCAAGTTTATCTTGAGGTATGAAAGATTTCAAGTACTACATATTCCCTACTTGATTTCCTTTAGTTGGTAAACAGTTGAGGCCTTGAAGCATGAAACCAAACTTGCACACATTCATCTGTATTCCCTACTTGGTTTTCTTTAGTTAGTATAAACACTTGAGGGCTTGAGGCCTTGAAGCATCAAACTGAACTTGCACACATGTCATTTAAAATTAGAAGCATTATACTTAATATTTAAATTGGATGACGATGAATGTTGTAGATAATCCTAAATGTATTCCACGCAGTACTGTAAACCCATTGTTGTCATCCTTCACTACTTTTGAGGACGCTGTTCATTCCCAAAAAAAAGAGGATGCTGTGTCGCTGTTCATATATGCTAGTCTCATCATGTATTTATAGTAGTTCTCATTAGCAACCGACCTAAGCATGCCAATGATTTTGTAGTATGCAGAACCAGTTATGGATTTATGGTACTCCCTCTGTTCACTTTTGAGGGCAGGCCTGGCGCAGTGGTGAAGTCCTCCCCACTTGTGCCAAGAGGTCCTGGGTTCGAACCAGCCTCTCTGCATTGCACTTTGCAGGGGTAAGACTAGGTTCCTATAATCCCTCCCCAGACCCCACCTTGTGTGGGAGCTTCTATGCACTGGGTCTGTCCTCTGTTCACTTTTGTAAGTCGTTTAAGACAGCTGAAATTGAGCTGTTTTAGGTGTTGTCTTAAATGCCTAAAACGTCTTACAAAAGTGAACGGAGGGAGTAATAAACTTTGGATACCATCGCAAACTCCTATTGGATGACAGAAGATAGTATAGACAATTAATTTACAAGAACATAGAGCAAGTGCAACTATATACCGAGTGCCAACCTTATTTCGTTTTCCATATTCCAAAAATCATTTCTTAACCAGGCATATTTCAAATTATTTTCTATCTGCTCAGCTAACAATTCTTTTTTTGTCTTTACAAAAATATGATATAGTAATTGGAGACATAACAATAAGGTATAATAGAACATTCTATCTATGCTATATATTCCAGGCAGAAAAGGTGTCCAAGAGGTCGTGGGGTGCTCAAAATGAGCGGAGATGCTCCCCGCTCCCTAGCCTAGCCTAGCCCACCAGCCTCGCCGCCGTCGAATCCCCGCCGGTAGCCCTCCCCCTCCCCCCGGCCATGGCCTCCGCCGATGCCCGCTCCGGCGACTCCAGCCCCGAAGGTCGCATCCGCTGGAGCGGCTCTGCGGGCGAATCCTCTGACTCGCGCTCCTACCGCGAGGTAGTCAGCACCCCGCCGGCCCCGCGCCCCCCTCCGCCGGCCGCGCCGCGCCCGGCCCCTGCTTCCTCGGCCCTGGTGCCGCTCCGCTCGACTGCGCCGGCCGCACGCGTTCCGGCTGCCGCACGCCTGGGTCCACGCTCGGAGATCCATCGCGCGTCTGGAGACCCTGTTCTCGACGCCGATGGGTTCCAGCAGCCGTGGCGGAGGAACCGTCGCCCGCGCGCGCGTCACGCGGCCACCCCTCCTTCCCAGCACCGTCGCCGCAGCCCGTCGCCCGAGGAAGTCGCCGGCCTGTGCTTCAGGTGCCTGGAAGCCGGACACCGGGTGCGGGCCTGCACCAACCCCGTGCGCTACCGTCGCTGCCTCATCTCCGGCCACGAGTCCAGCTGCTGCGAGACGCTGCTGCCCGGTGACCACCGTGCGCAGCCTCCGGCAGTCCACTGTCCGGTGCCTGACACCCCGCCGCGTAACCCCCCTCCTCAACTCCCCCGCGACGCCTCTCTGCCGCGCAACACCGCACCATCCCCACCGCCCGCCTCTGCGCCGGCGCGTGTCACCATCGCTCGTTCCATCGAGATGGAGGAAGCGGAGGAGGTGCTTGCGCGCGGTATGGTGGCCACCATCACCGGCACCAGGCCCTCTGTCTCCCCGACCGACATGGAGGCAACCTTGCACGCCATGTTCGACCTGCAGCCTGGCGACTTCACTATGCACAAGCACGCCCCGGAGGATTTCCTCATCATCTTCTCCTCGCGGCTGATCATGGACCGGATGGCCGGCGACCACCTCATCAACGCCGCCCGCTTCACCCTACTGCTCCGCCCTTGGTGCAAGCTCGCCCACGCCACTGCCGGGAGCTTTGCATACTCTGTGCAGCTCGAGCTCCGCGGCATCCCGGCGCAGGCATGGCACCTATCCACTGCCGAGCACATCCTTGGAACCGGCTGTTGGGTTGAGCGGTTGCACCCGGACACGCGTTCCCGCACTGACCTTGCCACATTCCGGCTCACCGGGCGCGTGCGGGACATGGCCTCCATTCGCCGGGACGCCATCCTGGAGATTGTCGAGCACGTCCCCGACATCCGACCTGACCTGCCGCCGGCCGTCCGCACCCTGGAGTACCCCATCTCCATCCGGCTTGTGAGGTCCGCTGCCCTTCCCAGGGCGGTCGACGATGCTGCCATTGGCGATGGCAATGGTGATGGCGAGGCTCATGGCAGCACGCACGACCCTGCAGGCCGCGGTCATGGATGCGGGCAGCAACGCCGTCGTAGCCGGAAGCGTCGCCGCCCAACCTCCGCCCCCGACGGACGCGCCGACGGCATGGCGGTCGACTCCGCTGGCTGGACTTGCTCCGGAGGCCGCCTACGGGCTGACGGCGAGGCGGTCGACCCTGGCTGGCCGGCGTCCCGCGCCGCCGCGGCTGTGCACGCGCCGCCACGGCTGTGCACGCGCCGCCGCCCGTACCATCCTGTGCCAGATGCATGGATGCATGGCCGCAAGCTGGGGCCCACCCGCCTAGTCGCAAAGCCAAAAGAGGAAAGCGTGGCGGAAAGAAAAAGCGCGCCAGGGTTCAGGCTGCGCTGGCCAAAGCTGCAGCTGCAGCGGATCCCAGGCCGACTGAGTCGCCCACCCCAGCGTTGGTGCTTGCCACCCCGACAGCTGGCAACAACCGATTGGCGCCCGCCCACCCTCCTCCTGCAGTCGGGCCCGCAACGACCCGGTCTTGCGCGTCGCCGTGCGCGAAGGGCGACAACCTCTCTGGCGACAGACCCACCACGGCCAATGCTTGTGCGCTTGGGGATCCGGACAGCTTATTCTCTGCCAGTGAGGTCCCGGACTCGCTTCCTGTGGCTCCCGAGGCTGATCCGCTGTCGGGGCAAAGCAATGCTTTGACCTCGTCAGCTCCTGTGGCTGATGAAGTACCTGCTGGTGCCGCTTTGCATGCCGGCCCCGCCACTGAGACGCGTGATGCAGCGCCCTCATCCACCCCTACGGCCCTGGCGGATCTGCTTGCCACCCCCTCCTCGCCAACGGGGGACGCGGGTCGTGTGATTCCATCCATCGCGCCTTCGCCCCCTCCTGCCACCGCCATCGGGAACGCTGACTTGGGTTGTCCCTCCCCCGCGGCCCAGGAGCCCAGAAGCATTCTTCAAAGGCCCGCGCCTCCTGATGCCCATGCAAACAGGCCCGCTCCCCCAAGCCCGTCGACGCTGCAATCAACCCCTGTGTCCCATGTGCCTCAGGTGCGCAGCGCAGGGCGTTTTGCCACACCACCAATCACTCTGCGACGAACCAGACAGCCTAGCCTCAGTCGTCTCGGATCACTCCCCCCTCTTGCTCGACTGTTCGCCTCTCCCATCAGCACACCGACGATTCCACTTCGAGGAGTACTGGACTCGCCTCGCCGGTTTCCCGGAGATCGTGGCGACCTCGTGGCATTCGGTGGACGACGCCAACCCGTTCCGGCGGTTCATGCGGCGCATGCAGGCCACTGCGCGTAAGCTCACCAGCTGGAGCGCGCGCTCCGTTGGCAACGTGCGAGACCAGCTTGCGATCTCTCGTGAGTTGCTGCTCCGCTTCGACGCCGCGCAAGAACACCGGGCCCTATCGCCGCATGAAGACTGGCTGCGTCGCCAACTCAAGTTATCCTACCTCGGCCTGGCTTCTCTCGAGCGGACGATCGCCCGGCAGCGCACACGCATTGCATCTCTCAAAGATGGCGACGCGAACACTACGTTGTATCATCGCCAGTGCACATACCGTAAGCAGAAGAACTGGATCCATGGCATCTCTGTCGACGGCGCCGTGCTCACTGCTCCTAGCGACATGGCAGCGGCCACCTTCGAGCACTTTGACAGCCGGATTGGGACGGACGTGCAACATGACTGCACCATTGACCTGTCGCAATTCATTGAGGCCTCAAATCTTGAAGACCTCGACGCGCCATTCAGCGAAGATGAGATTTGGCAAGCCATCAAAAGCTTGCCGTCTCGCAAGGCGCCCGGCCCCGACGGCTTCACCGCGGAGTTCCTCCGCTCCTGCTGGCCGGTCATCAAGTACGACCTCCGATGCGTCTTCGACCAGGTTTACGCGCTGCGTGGACGAGGGTTTAGCTGCCTTAACCAGGCGCTAATTACGCTCCTCCCCAAGCGCGCCGATGCCAATGGCCTGGGAGATTATAGGCCCATAAGCCTAATTCACATTGTCGCCAAGGTCCTGGCCAAGCTGCTTTCGCTCCGCCTAGCCCCCAAGCTCAACAACCTTGTCAGCAACGTCCAGAATGCGTTTATCCCCGGGCTAAGTCTTCATGACAACTTCATCCTCGTGCGTCAATCCGTGCGGCTTCTGCACCAGCTTGGTGCCCCTCGCGCGCTCCTGAAGCTTGACTTGGCGCGGGCTTTTGACTCCGTCTCGTGGCCTTTCCTGTTCGAGGTGCTGCGATGCCATGGCTTTGGCAACCGCTTTCTTGGTTGGATTGCCCTTCTCCTGTCGTCGGCCAGCACGAAGGTTCTCCTCAACGGCAACCCAGGACCCGCGATTTGGCACCGCTGCGGACTGCGCCAAGGTGATCCAGTTTCCCCGCAGCTCTTCGTCCTTGCCGTCGCTGGGCAGGCTCTTTCATCGCGCGGTCGAGCTCCGAGCCATGCAGCAGCTCCACCCGCGCCGCACCATCCCTACCATATCCCTTTACGCCGACGACGTCATTCTCCTGTGCCACCCATCGCCGGATGATATCGCGGCGGTGAAGGAGATCCTGCAGCTCTTTGGGCACGCCTCCGGCCTGCACGTGAACTTCCAGAAGAGCGCTGCGGCCCTCATCCGCTGCGACACCGAGGACGCTGCTCATGTCGTCGCGCTCCTGGGATGTCCCATTGTCGAATTCCCGCTCACTTACTTGGGCATCCCGCTCACGTTGCGTCGCCCCACTGCTGCCCAGCTCCAACCCGTCGTCGACAAGGTTGCTGGGAAGCTGCCCTCCTGGAAGGCTTGGCTAATGAACAAAGCCGGCCGCCTTGCCTTCGTCAAGGCTGTCTTGAGCGCGATCCCCATCCATCAGCTCCTTGTGCTTGCACCGCCAAAGAAGATCATCAAACTTTTGGAGAAGATTGAAAGAGGATTCCTTTGGGCTGGCCGCGCCGAGGCCAATGGAGGCAATTGCCACGTCAACTGGCGGCGCGTCTGCCGGCCTATCCAGTTCGGTGGCCTCGGCGTTCACGATCTCGAGCGCACTGGCCTTGCCCTTCGCATGAGGTGGCAATGGCTCAGCCGAGTCGATGATAGCAGGGCCTGGAACGGCCTTGACCTGCAATTCGCGCCCGAGGAGCGCGCGCTCTTCCTCGCCTCCACTACCATGACTATTGGCAATGGCCAACGCGCCCTATTCTGGGAGGACAGATGGATCAACGGGCGTGCAGTCCGCGAGATCGCGCCTCTCCTTTTTGCTCACATCCCCAAACGGCGTCGCAAGTCCAGAACCGTAGCGGACGGCCTTCATGCAAACCAATGGGCCACGGACATCCATGGCGCGATTGGCGTCCCGGAGATCGGAGAATACCTGCGCCTCTGGCACATGCTCACCGAAACTGCCCTCACTGACGCTCCAGACTGCATTCGCTGGAAGTGGACCGCGAACGGCGAGTACTTCGCCAAGTCCGCATACCTCGCCACTTTTCAGGGCTCCACCAGATGCCAGACTTGGGAACTTACCTGGAAGTGTTGGCACCGCCTTGGGTGCGCTTCTTCCACTGGCTTGCCAACCTCGATCGGTGCTGGACGGCCGACCGCCTCGCGAGACGCAACCTGCCGCACCCACAGCGCTGCCCTCTTTGCGATCAGGCTTCGGAGACGATTCATCATCTTCTCCTGGAGTGCCCTTTCAGCCGCGAGGTGTGGCACGAGATTCTCTCATGGCTGCGCCTCTCTTGCCCGCTGCCCAATAACGATGCCACTCTCCACGACTGGTGGTGCTCTGCACGACAAGACACGCCTAAACCCATGCACAAGGGATTGGCCTCCGCTGCCTTGCTTGTCCCTTGGATGATTTGGAAGCATCGCAACGGATGCGTGTTTGAGGGCGCAACACCGTCGGTTACCTCCCTGACTGCTAGGATTAAGGATGAGGCCGCGCTCTGGGCCAGAGCTGGCGCATTGGGGCTCCGGGCCATCTTGCCACAAACCTGGGATGTCCACTAATGTGCATGTACTCTCCGTGTAAATCTGCCTCCTAGGAGGATTGTACCAAACCCCTTCTTTTCAATGCAATGAAACGCAAAAGTCTTTTGCGTTTTCTCAAAAAAAGAACATTCTATGCTGACTTCACTCTGCCATACACAGAATCAGGAATAGCAATGGTTGTTCCAGTCAGGGATAGCATAAACAAGAATACATGGATTTTCTTGAAGCCGCTAGAACCTGGAATGTGGTTTGGAAGCATTGTATTCTTCATCTACACTGGTGTGGTCGTATTAATATTGGAGTTTCTAGGCAATAACGAGAATGTCCGTGGTCCAATTCCAAGACAGTTGGGGATTATGATCTTTTTCTCCATATTTGAAGAGAGTTGAGTATACTTACCACGATACATCCATTTCCCATGTTGGTGCATAAAATAGAGCATTTAGTATCAAGCTGAGAGGTCTGAGTGGGAAGACAATTATAGAAGCCTCATGCAACTAACAGTCTAACACAGCTCCACAATTAACAAATGGAGAATGCATGTGAAATTTCTCAAAACACATTTTGGTAACTTTGCATTTCTAAAAATGTGGTAGCTCATTACAACACTGTAGTAATATAATAGTTTTCAACTTCAGATTCGAGATGGCAAAAGTATAAGTAAAATTTATTTTTCTTAACTTTTGCAGAGGAGCTTGTGCAACGCTTTCTGTCCCGGATAGTTTTGATCATTTGGTTGGTTTTCCTGATGGTACTTACATCAAGTTACACTGCAAGCTTGACATCAATGCTAACAGTACAGCAGCTTCAGCCAACTGTAACAGATGTGCGCGAACTCCTAAAAAGTGGAGAATATGTAGGATACCACCGTGGCTCCTACGTCAAGGGACTTTTGGAAGAACTTGGTTTTGACAGGTCGAAGATCAAGCCCTATAATTCCCCTGAAGATTTTCACAACGCACTTTCAAGAGGAAGCAACAATGGTGGTATTGCTGCACTTGTGCATGAGGTTCCGTACATTAAACTGTTTCTGGCAAATCACTGCAAAGGGTACACTATGGTGGGACCAATTTATAGGGCTGCAGGTTTTGGATATGTAAGTTGAAGTGCATTAAATGCGCTTTTGCACAATATCTTTATAGAGAAAGTAAACATAAGTTAATCAATTGGTTTTCGAAGAAAAAAATGCTAGTTAGCAATCACGTTAGATACATTTGAACATCCTATAACTATGTTGGTCTAAAATAAGCTACAAAATTATTGTGCCTACTGCCTAATAACAAACATGCGTAGCCAGATGGATTTACTAAAATGTACTACTAAGTCCAATTACGCCTGTAAGTTATACTTTTACGTGCATCGGACAAGACAAGATACAGTGTTGTCTGTTCTCTATCCGGTAAATGAGTCAATAACGTGGTCATATTTCTTGCACAGGCATTATCAAAGGGAAATCCCTTGATTGGAGACATCTCCAAGGCAATCCTCAACGTAACTGGGGGTGATACTATGATTCAAATTGAGAAGAAATGGATTGGAGATCGAAACAATTGCCAGAACTTGGGCCCAGTAACTGGTTCAAGCAGACTCACATTTGCCAACTTCAGGGGATTATTTATCCTTACTGGAGTTGCTTCAACTTCTTCCCTTTTGATAGCATTGATAATTTATTTCTACAAAAAGAAGCAATCAATAAATACTGTGTTAGACAATGGGAATCGACCAGAAGAAAGTGGAATAAATGAGGAAAATAGTGAGGCCCGAGAAGGAAATCAAGGAGGAGATGAACAAAATACAAAGCAAGCGGGCCAGGAGGAAAGTGGGCTAGAAGAACAGACCAGTTTAGAAGTGGTACCTGAGGCAACTGACAGACAAGCATTGTTATGCCCAACAATGGATCAACTGCCGTTTTCAGGGGTAAAGTAGAAAAATACTAGCCTGCAAGTGGAACTCATCTGAAGTTCAGTACATTTTTAGCTCCCCTGTTATCTCAGCAAGCTGACCTAAGCTAATATGCTCAAACCTGGAAATTAGCATTCTTGAGCTCATGTGTAATATAGAAGTCATTTCCTCCAGGGCTAAAACTTGTAAACAATTAGAACTGCAGAATCTCATTTTATTTGACTGGCTGCCAATCTCCTGTATTGCTCAAGTATAGCTTGATTAAACCCCCAAAGGCAAGCTCATCTAATTGGATCCATCGTGCATTTCCAAACTGCTTCGTTATGATCCCTGCAAATCAACAATTTATGTATATAACTGGCATATGTTTTTATAAGTGACGTGGTGTCATGATATATTGATTGAATGCCACTCATCTTCTAAGAGACTGATAAGCCAATAGCTTATCCAGACAGAACAGGTTATTACAGTGAGATGGTGAATGATAGCATGCATCCAAGCTGGAGTAGTAACCTAGTAGATGCATACCTTCTTACAGGAACTTCAACCTTCACAGTGAAAACCTTCTAGCTGGTCAGCATTGAAGATAACAGTTTTGCTCAAGCTGTTAGCCTTAATTCCATTTGCTGATTTACGCTTCCACGGTGAATATCTGATCCTTCATGTTATAAATCCTTGAACTTTCTACTTGTCAACCACTTTAGTTTTCAAGCCAGTATACATTAAAAAATGACACATGTTTATGCTACATGATACACATACAAAGATAGATCTAAAATTTAGAAAGAGCAACAATTATATGGCAAATCATTATGTATTCTCTAAAAATTCAGGTGCATTATGGAGTACTGATTGCCACTGAATTCATCAGCCTCATGATATTGTACAGCCTTGTGCAGCTTGTGCTCCTGCGACTTACCAAAAGTTCTGTATACTACTCTCCTACAAAGTGCTAAGCTTATCCCTCCATGTTAGGTAGCTACACCTGTTTTGGTTTGCAGCACTGGGGAGAAGGGCTGCATTGTCAACAACAATGTTCGAATTTTCATCGATTTTGTATGACACATCAATGCCTTCCAGATGAAGGTGGTAGACTACGATCGGGCAGGAGTCAGTGGCTTGGTAATCTTCTTTCTTTCTGCAATCCTCATCAGCTTTGCTACCATAATCACCGGCCTTGCTTTCAATGTCCACCTGGTGAGGGCGGAGTCGCTGAGACAATGATCTGATGTCCCAGGAGAGCACCTCCTTGATCAGATCCTGAAACTCGTCTGCTGAGGCATAGAGTGCCTGCTTTTGCTGAAACAAATTATGTTTAATGAATTTTAAGTCAGAAATTGGCTTTACCGTATATTGACCAAAAGAACAACATTTTGGTAGAGAGTACACAAAGAAGATACTCCCTCCGATCCATATTAATTGTTGCAGCTTTAGTATACTAATATGGATCGGAGGGAGTAACTTAATTTTCTGAACAACCATAACACTTACTACATGCGCCCAGCAGTTGGAAAGTGAAGAAATGAAGTGCTCAGAAAAGTGAATAGACTCCACAGCTAATGCACCATCGACCTACTTGGACAAAAATATCCAGCATTAGGAGATGACAAATAATCCAGGAGTAAGCCGATTAGAACATTGCCATAAGAGGTCCACAAGTGACCCTGCCGCCATCAAGGTTATATGTAGCAAATAAAGTATATGTGATACTTTGACAAAAGCACAAAAACTGAACTTTCGGCCTATAAACGCATAAATAAGATACATCTATTGGATTTGTCAAGATACTGAGTTTCCTCTAAGTAATATCGAAGTAGAGAAGTTTGTAAGACAAGAAAAAAGTGTAAAACTACCTAAAAGGTGAAGAATAAATATTTTCGGTCATGTAGGGATGTTTAGGTAAGAGAAAATGAGAAATCATCATCTGAATGCAGAAAAGTGCCTATAAACATATACAATCTCGAAGGCGCACTATCATGTATTTCGACTCATAAAAAATAAGCATGCTCTGAAGAACAAACAGAAAAATAAATGAGCTGTAAAGATCAAGAGAGTAACGAGTGGAGTAACATGCCACATAGTATGTACCTCTAACCAATTAGGAATAGTCGCACCTTTCACGCTATCAGAATATGGCAGATATGGTTTAATATCAAGTACAGGCTGTACATGGAGGTGGAATATATTAGGAAGAGTTCGCAAATAACATTGCTGAATTTGTTGAAATCAGTTGTATAATGCTGGAGAACATAAGCACTTAATACGGTACCGTGCCATCAACCAAATCTACTCCAGAAAGCAAAATCGCATGTCCATCCACTGCCTCCACCTAGAAAAGGCTCAAGTAAAAGTTAAGCCATAAAAAATCTCAAGGCACAATAGAATGCTAAGCAAGAATAACCAAAATAGGCAATAATCCAATTTAATAAAATATTAGGTCTATCCTACAAGGTTATACAGAGGCATGTGATTCAGTTCTCATCAATATCCAGTCAGGCGCATTAGTAAGTTTTCTTATAGTTCAAGTGACAATGTAGCATGTATTGCAGCATTGCCCAGAATATAACCTCTCCAGGTAGCAGCTCTGTGTGGACATCTGTAGTGCAAAAGATGTCCTTCCGCACAATATAAACAACAAACGGATAGGTATTATCATTCAGATTACTTTCTACAAGTTCCAAATATGCTATCAGTCCTAAATCTAAGTACACTTATATGTCATAGCCCATCAATATATGTTCCAAATAGCGATAGTATTTGGATACAGGCATTGAGCCATTTCGAGTGACACCTCCACTCCATCCTTATGCGACGCAGACTATATGTAATTAGGGACAATAAATAAGAAGAGAAGGCTGGGTCCCAGAAAGATACTTATTGCTTACCTTTGCTACACTTAGTCCAATTGGATTAGGCCGATGCGGAGATCTAGTTGCCAAAACCCCCATCTTGCCCCCTTTCAATCTAGGCACTCTCACCTTCCACCAAAACAGACGGATTCACTAGTTCAGCCCCATATCCACGATAACATTCAGAACAACAACTATCTGATTAAGAACTAGAACCAGCTAAGGGCCAACAGCAGAGCACACCTTTGCTTTTAGCTTGGATCTAGCAGGGTCTTTCCACATTTTATCAAGATCAGTGTTCAGATGGAAAACATAGAGGATCCAACAATGCGAGTAACTAGCAAGTCCCTCTAGCGCTTCGGCCGCAACACGGGCAGGATTAAGCACCACTGTCGCTCTGGCCAGAGGCACCACCAAAGGCTGTCTCGGTGTACCATTCCTGCAGAAACAAACACCCATACACATAACACCAGACGCCTTCACGCATACATTACCAACTCCGAGTAATCAAGCTCATTGAGTGACAGAACAGCACCTAGTAGAGAAGCAGGACTGCACGGTGCCGATCGGCGCCATCGGGTACGACGCCGGGGCCTTGGCCGGCTTCCCCTTATCCGGGCTCGTCCCCTGCTCGCTCAGGGCCCTCCGCAGTGACTGCCAGAATCGAAGCGAAGCAATACGAGTTAAATGCGCAAAGTTGGACCTGCGGAGCTTCGTGGGGGACCAACCTGCTGAGCCCGAACCCTGCCGCGGCGCTCTGCGGCGGCCTTCTCCACGGCGTCGGCCAGGGAGTCCTCTAGCTCCCGCACCCGCGCGGTCAAGCGGCTGCACCTGCGTCTGTAGAGCAGGCCTGCAGCAGAGAGTAGGTGCGCCGGTGAGGAAGGAGAGGCAAGTGTTTGACACTTGGATCCACGAGGTTAGGGGAAAGAGGGAGTACCTGCGAGGACGGCGGCCGCCGCCGCGGCGGCGAGGGCGGCGAAGCTCTGCAAACGCGCCATGTCGCGGTGTTTTTTTTTGTTGCCGAGGACGCAGAGGCCGATGAAGACAGTGGGAGTAGCGGCCCAGACCCGAGGAAGGAGGAGTTGGGCCGAACTTACCACAGCAGTGTGTTCTCTAGCCAATCTTTTTTTTTTTTGCGGGGGAGCCAATCTTTTTCTTAAAGCAACAGAGACACAGAGTCGCATATCTACCCAAATTGCATAATACCCTTTTTTTTGCGGCAACATAATACCTCTTTTCTATGGTAACTAGAACAGTGCTCGTGCGTTGCAACGGAAAATAAAGATTCTAATACATTAGCTTGTGATTTACCTGTTAATAATAATGCGCTTGTGTAAATAAATGTTCATCAAATTCTACCCGTGAATTACCTTATATTTTGATTAAAAATTTGGTAAGTAAATTAAAATGAAATTGGTTCAAGAGATAAGTGAATTAAGGTGATTGATTATCATATACGAGAAAGGTTGAACGAAGGGTGGTGGGAAAAAAGATGAAATTGAAACCTTCTTTTTAAGTAAGTATATAGAGATACATGTATTTGTACATTCTCGTGTAGTGAACATGTACTTCGTGGTAGCATTGCTTCTTTTTTTTTCGAGTAACTCGTGGTAGCATTGCTATACTTCACCATGTAACTTGTGGTGCAAGTGTGTGCGTACGTGCTGTTTCGTATTTTTACTAGTAAAAATGCCCATGCGGTTGCAACGGAAAAACAAATACTACACTTTCTTAACTCAATAATCATTACTCGAGGCCCCAATAAGTTCACATCTCTTATTTCAACACAGGGCGTCTCATTCGTGTTGTCACTTATTCTCCTTCTCACCCTCAATGACGGTGGCCTCAGTGCTCACACAAACACAACCCTGCCGCGTCTCTTTACAAGATGAGAAATCCGGTTTTTTTTTCTTTTTGTGAGGTGTGCCAAATCACCCACCACGCAGATAGCCGGAAATCGCACGGCCTTGCTCGTCATGGTTCGCCACGCCAGCTCCCGCGGGCCACGAACCTTTGTCAGAGCTTTCTTGTTTCTCGCCATCTCATGTGCCCTTTGCCGTTCAACTGGCCTCCTCCGTGCCGGACCATAAACAGTGTCGTCCAGTATCAGCTTCGCAAAAACTGCAGTGGACTTGTATGTAGACGCCTCACTACTCATGCACCAAATTAC